CCCGCTGCGTTCAGCCTGGCTTCGGCCCTGACGGGTCTCCGCGGAAACCTCAGGAAATGGCAGTAGCCAGAGCAGAGCTGTGGCACTTTCGGAGAGTATTTCTCTCGCCTGCCTCTGCTGTTGCCATGGCGAAACATGCGAAACTTACTGCGCAGGGAAATAAGTTGTGTTTAAGTTGGGTAGCCATGGTGATATTCTGTAGGTTCTGTTGAAGTTTGTTTTCAGAAAGCGAGGAAACTCATAGAAACCATCAATGCTGTTTGGAAACCCCCCACCTATCCCATCTTGATTTGTATATCGGTAGAAGTAAGTAGAAATATCCAGTGACTATCACAGAATAGGAATATTAGTGAAGTTATATACCTGAAAGAACCAGTAATTGTAAAGGCTAAATTTAGTAGTGAGAATAGTACGTGTTTTTATGTAAAACATGTTATGTAGCCATGGATAGATGCATAGACAACAACAACAAAAAAAATATAAAAGAATGATCAATGTGATAAAAATTTGAACATGTTTGACAGAGTTATCCTCTGTGTTCCCAGCAAAGTATTTACGTCAAACTGGATTTTTCATCTCGTTTGATGACACTATACAGGCAGCTAAAGTTTGTGTCTTGCTGAGGAAATCGTGGGGGGAAAGTTGTTGAACCACTTTGCTTGTGAGTGGTTTGTTAAAATATTCCATATATTTTTTTTTCTTCCTCTTTTGAAGGCCCACCAGCAGCTGTAGCTTAAGAAGTCAGCAGTAACATAATGTTTCAGAACTTCCCAGTTTGGGGTTCAGGGGGTGGACAGGGCTCAAAAGCTCAGACCTTTTGCCTGTGGGTCATTGATGTTGAGGGACAGCAGCTGGACAAATGTTCCCTGTCCACACAGATCTCACTTCTATTTTCAAGCAGAATAAAATCCTGTGGAAACTGTATTCATGCATCTGCTCTGCTCCTGCCAGTTTGACATGCACAAGCTGCCCCCAAAATTGGTAGTTTAGGATTTTGCAGGTGTGGGGATCAGCCCTAGGTTGTGACTATGTGAAGTTGTCTTGGTCAACATTGGTGTAGGTGCTTCAGGAGTGGTGTAACCCCTAACTAAGCACACGTAGGTGAAAGATGCCATTGCAGCAGCAGTGCAGCCCTTAAGCACATTTAGGCAAAAGAGAGGCACCTTCCAGAGAATATTTTTGCTTTGCAGTGGGAGTTACTCTGTGGTTGGTGCAGTCTGAGCTCAGTTGATGGTACTGCTAGATAAGAAAATTTGAAGTGGTGTAACTCTGGCAAGCTTGAGGGGAAAAAAAAAAAAAACTGCCTAAAAATCAATTTGTAATAAAAGGAAAATGGTTTTCTGATAATTAAGAGGACAGAATTTCTCTGAAGAGGGTTTTGCAGATACAGGAAGTTATCAACACAATTGTCAGTCAAACTGCAGAACTTTTGTGTATCTCTGAGTCATGCAACTGGAATGTATTATTTTACTTCCCTGGGCATCAGCTGACTTAATTTAGCTTTTGAAGCCAATATGCCAAAGCATCTTCTCTTGCCAAAAAATTCTGAAGTATTTAGTTAGAAGTTCTGTATCATGGGTAGAGCCTGACTCTCTTCATCATCTTCCAGTGCATCCCCTCTGGCAGAGTCCACTTACAATCCCCGGGGGCACCCGGCAGTCTCCTATCAATATCCAGTGGAGAGACAGTGTTTACGACCCCTTTCTGAAGCCTCTGAAAATCAGCTACGATCCTGCAACGTGTCTTCACATCTGGAACAATGGATATTCGTTCCTGGTTGAGTTTGATGATTCTACTGATAGATCAAGTAAGCAAAACTGAGAGAAAAAAAATCTATTTCATGTCTTATTAATTCTTAGAGAGAAGTGTTTGTGTGCTGTGAAACCTCGGGTTCAATAACACACAAATGTTGAAAATTAACATATAGCAGAAGAAAGCTTTAGCTAAATGCAGATTTACCATGCTGGGAATTGTAATGCAGAAGTTCTACACAGGCCTCACTTTTATTATGTATTTATTCCAAGGGAAATGGTGCACAAATCCTCTGTTGTAGGTTGAGATTTCTTATTGCACAAGCCTTAATACCTTGCCTTTTGATTAGGTCTTGTAATATCATTGCTTTGTCTGCATGAGTCAATCTTCAGCCATAGGTATGTGTATATACTTCATTTTAAAGGAGATATTATCATTATACTTAATTAATCTGACTCTTATCTGTTGTGGTGTTAACCAATACATTTAATGTGTTTGAACTAATCAGCAGCAAAATGACTTTCAGTTGGAAAGCATACAGACTTATCTGCTTAAGCTTTTGGAGAATTAAATAACACCAAGCTGCTACCACAGGCAGGAGGTGCCTGTGTTCCTGTTGTTTTAGTAGAAGGAGGAGTCTATGCATGGAAAATCCAATTACACATTCCAGCAACTTGTTGTGAGTAAGTGCACTGACCTGAGCAGTTAATTTTTTTTTTTTGGCAGTGTTCAATAGAGTCAAGTGAGTTAGAGTCAAGATATTGCTACTAAATTCCAGATTTCCCACCTGTTGTTCCTTTAAAAAGTTGTTGTTACCAAAGGACATTGCTGTTGTGTGTGAAGAAGGTATTTCATAAAGGTGGGTGAACTGATAGCAGTTGGTCAGGGGTGTTGTGAAGTGTGTGATTCATGCCAATTACTCAGCTTGTCCTGGAGGGGAGAACTGAGGGACCCTGGGCAAGTTTGAACCTGGTGGATTAGAGTAGTAGATATTTAAGGTGACAGCTCACTGTGAGGGATATTAGAGCTTGGTAAAGGATTTAGTCATGCTCTAGGGAAGGAAGCTTTTGGCACTTTGTCTCCATGGTACCAGTGGTTTTGGGTAATGTTTGGAAAGAGGCTGATAAAACAGTGCAGCAAAAATGGTAGTGGTGGATCACATGGAGATGTCAGGGGCTTGTGTGACTTTTTTTTCTTTATTATTTGATTGTCTTATTGTTTATAGCTGTTCACCCAGTTTATTGGCTTCCACCCAGGGAGTATTCTTGCCCTTGTTCATTTGAGTGCTGTGATATGTAATGAAGAAACCAAGTAGTGCCCTTCTGTTTTTACAGCCCAAATTAATATTGTGTTAATGAGGTAGGGCTGGGGGAGGGACTAAGATGGAGACACCACTTGTTAGTTCATCAGTGGTTTTAACTTACTAACTTTAGATTGCTTTTGCTTTTAACACTCCTTGACTTGGTACAGCCATACCCCATGATCTGTTGAAGATGGGTCCTGAAAAGTGTAACAGTTTGCAGTTTGATGGATAACAAAGCCACTTTTTTTTTCCTGGAAGAATTGATGGAATGGATAATAATTGCCTGCAGGAGATTAAATATGCAACATTTAAATACTCGGGGACAATTTTTGGGATGTAGAGGCAAGCATGGGATCATCAGGGGATTGGATTGTTGGAGGGGTGCTGGCCTTTCAGAGGCTGGCTGGTCAGCTCTGAAAACTCTTTTCCACTTCATCTCTGAGACTGAACACTTGAGGTCAGTCTTGAAGTGTGAGAATTCTTGCTGCCTCTTTCTAGCTGACTGTCTTTTCATCATTATCATCATCTCCCTCAAATGAATTAAAGTCAGTGAAGGGTGATGATGGATGGTGTTAAACCATCAGTGGCAGGACAATAAAGTGACAGACCAAGAAACAACAGATCAGGGGGTGTTGCTGTATAAATGGCTGAGTTTTCAAGTGCCTGCCTCTCTCCTCTGCCTCTCTCTCTTCACTGTTGCCATTTCTGGTTTTTCTTTCTGCCAGCTTCTGTCTAGCAATAATAGAAGTCCAGAGAAGGAAGCTTGTGAATTATGAAGGAGGGGAAAAAAAAAAGGCAACGAAGTTGAAACAGAAGATGAAAGACAAACCAAAACGTGCACCCAGAATAGACAAAGATGCTCAACTCCTGAGATGAGGCAAAACAAGACTTGGGCAAAAGATGAAGGTAGTGCTGCTGTGGGGTGCTTGCTTGTGAGCAGAATGGGAGGATGAAGAAGAAAGAGGGCGTGGGGAAGGTATGTAGAGAACAGGGCCCTGTCTGGGTGCATGAATGCCGTCTGCTGGAAGGAAATGAAACTGAAACACAGCTAGGGCTGCAGTGAAAACCTGGTGTGAATCTTACCCCTGGTTCTTGTTAGAGTTCCTTTAAACTTCTCTTGTGTGTGGAAATTACCAAGTCTGGTAAATTGAGAGAGAGTGAAATGGCAAAAAAGGCTTGTGAAGGGACTGTAAGTTGCTTTTTGTTTCCTGTTGGTGTCCACTGTAGGAACCTGGTGTTCTACATATATATGCCTGTGCCTAACTTTGCTCCTGAGGCAGACATTGAAGTGAATGTGATTGCTAAGGTGATTGTAATCACTTGGGGGTTTGCACCATCACATAATGAGGAATGGATAGTTTTAGAGCACAGAATCTTTAATTCTGAAGGGCTTGGCAGTCTGGGCTACATCTTCATCCTATCACTGAAACTTTCTCTGCCATGACTTTTTTTAGTGGTGGTCAGTATTGCATCTATGCTAAGAGCTCAGAAGCAGTGAATGAAATTAATTAAATTCTAATTTGCATAGCTTGTTTTAGCTTGCTGTTTTATTACAAGCAGACCTATCTAGGTAAAATTTCAAAATTGCTGGCTGGCTTTCAGGAAAGAAAAAAAAAAAAGACAAGAAAAGCTCTTAATGCCTCTCATAGTTTTCTCCTTAGTATGAAAGTGATTAACTTCTTTTCACAAGTAGTGTTGGGATTATGGACTTCATACAGTGTTTTGCTATAAAATTTAACTGGGATGTACAATTAAAATCAGCAAATGAGACTTCACAGCTACATATTTGTTGTCATTCCTTTGGAAGTAATGATGTTTTTGGTTAACAGACACCAGATGCTGTGATGTAATAACTTTGCAGGGTGTTCCTGGTTCTGTTGGGAGGAAATGAGCAAATTCCAGCAGTATGCAGAAAACTAGGCGTAGACTTTCTCATTCATGTGTTTGTGAGATGATGAGAGGCCTTCTGAAATCAGGAGAGCAAACAATATCCACCTTTACTCGTGGCTAAAAAGTGCATTAAAGCTTCCAAAGACACCAAATCTTGCCCATAGGCAGACTGGATGTTTAGAGAGCAGAGTGTAGCTTGAACAATTGACAGTAGGCACAATATTAGAGTATTTCTGGCTGTGCAGGAAATCTTTTAACATGGGTACAGTCTGAAAAGCTGCATTGAAGCAGAACAGTGTGCTTGGGTTTTTTGTAACTTAGAAAAAAGCAGAATTGAACGTGGAGCACAAAGTAGTCATTCTTCTGGCAAAAATGGGATTTTTGAAGTCTTGTAGTGTCATGGAAAATTTCATTATTTTTCACAGATATTGAGGCTTTGCTGGGATGTAATTTATATATGTGTTAATTGCTTTGTCATCATACATGCTTCTTCTGGTAAGGCAGTTCTCCTAGGCCTGCTTAAAGAGAAGAGTTTAGAATGTAACATGTCATCACCATGACTCTGCCCAACTTGATATGAATTGGGGGGAAAAAATTCCCTTGAAGGGGACATAGGTGAGACTGTTTAGCTTATCTTCCATTTGATATAGCTGATTCAGACTGCAGGGGAAAACCATGAGGTGTTTGCTTCAACAACTGTATCATAGCAAAGTAAAGTATAAAAGTAGCCAAGCAACAGGAGACTTTCAGTTAAGGCTTTTGCTCCACTTCATTATTTTTCTTCCTGGGCAAATTTGTTTTAAGGAGGATCCTGCTGTGTTACTTGTCTGGACAATTCTAAATCATGTTTATTAACATGTGTCTTGTTTTCCTTTTCAGCAATCTTTGGAGGTCCCTTGGAAAACCAGTACAGGCTAAAGCAGTTCCACTTCCACTGGGGAGCTATAAACGACTGGGGTTCAGAGCACACAGTTGACAGTAAATTTTACCCAGCAGAGGTATGAGATAAAATGCTGAGCAGTGCAAATGCTCGTGGGGACTGGAGGCTGGGTCTCTGGCTCTCTATGACTATACTGCATGCTAGAAAACTCCCAGTTTGATGAATTGCAGCTCACTGGTAAGGATCAGACCTGGTAGGTGCCACAGCTCATACATAGTTTTATTAGTAAGTTCATATTCATTGTGTTTTCTGGAGGACACAGTCTTAAAATTGACCATTGGCCCCATTACTGAAAGCTTCAGGAATGTTTTCTTCTCCCTGAATGTCCCCAGGGGTAGCAGCCAGACAAGCCAGTGGCAGGGGGGGGGGGGAGCCCCGGCGTTCCGGCCCCGCCACGC